AGCTGCTCTGTTGTTCTGAGGAGATGCTCATCTATCACAGCTTCTGCAGGAGTGCAGTATACTCTGTCCTTGCATCAGGCCTACTCTCCTGGCCAGTGTCTGCAGAGCAAATCATGGCTGTGTCCCTCTCTACCCACTTGTTTATAGGGTGGGTAGAAGTTAGAATTGAGCCAGGTTCTCACTCCCATGCTTGGAAACAAGATGTGATCAGGTCTAAGCCTGGCCTACCAAGTATCTTAGTATCATAATTGCTGCCAGCATGCTGAAGGGCCATTTTACTTCTAACTATCATGTAGCACTTAATTATTAGCTCTCCTGGTGCCTTTAAAGAAAGGGTAATTGTTAATATATTATGACCTGTCTACAAATGCTAGGCACAGCATAGCCAATTAAAGATAAACATCCAGCCCTAGCTCTGAATGTAAAAATACTCCCCTTCAGGCTTTTATGAAGTTTTGTGCTATTCCCTATGCATCTCCTTTTGTTTCTTTGGCAATTTTGTTAAATATGAATTACTTCATATTTACACAGAACCACTTTTGGACTTTGCCATCCTGTTGAAACAACAACAGTAACTGTTTGTGAGTAAGCTGCACCTAAGCACCAAAGGTGTTTAAGAGCCTTTTATCCTTTTATTTTTTTTAAACCAACTGAAAGTTGACAGATGCTTCCCCTTTTGACTTAACACCACTGTGGTTTGTCCACATTGGGTGCATCTACATGTACTCTTTACTGCAGACTTGACTAATTAGCTCTGCACTAATGTGTCACCATCTACACAGCCACCATTATGGGGGTGCAGTAAATGAGCTAGCTCCACTGTAGCTCAGAGGTTATACTATTTTACGGTGGAGTACTTAACTCTGCCGAAATAAATGTGTAGATGGTGACAGGGGCCAGCTGGGGTATGAGGGTGCTAGAGCGAGGGTGGCTGCCTGCTGCCTAGCCCCGCACTTTAGCACTTTTGTGCCTGAGTCAGCCTCTCTGCCATCCAATGCCACCACCCAGACCCTGGAGCTGACTCCCTGGGCCCCTCCCCAGATCAAGCTGCTATGGTCCTGGGTACACATGTAGACACTGTACCCAGGAGCATCTGGCTCTGTGTACAACTGCACCAGAGTTTATCACATCATCTTCATACACATGTAGATGCAGCCATTAAGTCTTACCACATGGACCACATGAGTTCTTTCAAGCTCTTCTCATCAGGTAAGTGGTGAATGTGGAAGTATACAAATATACCAAATTTCTTATTACAAATGTTCACTTTGGTAAATATTCATGATTTCAAGCAAAGCCAAACCAAAACCATGTGAAACCCCATCCTTGACAAAGGTTCTCTAAGATAAGCCTTCCATTTGAAGACCATCCCTCACATCCTTAAGAATTCCATATAGTTTTACCTATGTCAAAAGAAAGACTGGGAGAGGATCTAACACTCTACCAACACCCACTTATCACACTAACAAAATTAAAAAAAAACAGTCTGACCTCTCAGACTAGTAAAAAAATCACCCTTGCCCATGGTGCAATCAACATTTTATTTTTTGTCATTCATGTCCTGCCAGTATTGTTATGAAGCTATATATGGAATGTTGTATTACTTGGACTCATGCTTGTTCTTGGATCTAATCTTCTAACAGTCTTTGTAAGCCAGAAAGGCTGAGAATTATAATTAGCAGAATTGATATCAAAATAGTCATTGATGTGTCCTGTTTGACTGTTATGCTTATGAAAATATGGTATAAAAACTGCAATACTCATACCTACTTCTTTTAATCTATTGTTAAAGTAATTAATAGCTGGCTTTTAATTTGTACTCTCTTCCAAACACTGTTTTTAGAAATAAAACAGAAAAATAATGTATAATCTTAAAGAACACAGTTTAGCAAAGATGTTTGATACTAACATATATCCTAATGTGCTTTTAGCCCATATTTTACTCCACAGAAAGATGTGTGTCTTGAATTCAAAGCAATAAAAAAAATTGACATGAAAATTCTCATTTGTGATTTAGCAGATTATACTCTATTTAGAAGGTTTGTCTGTTTGTTGTGTTTATGATTCAAAATGTTCTTGATACTTGGTATGCTTTCCTTCTTGCACTTGCAAGTTGACAGCCCTCTCCTTGGTTGACCACAACCAGTTAAGATTTTTTTAATATGCTACTCTTAACTCCATAAGATAGCAAAATGTTTAAGAACCTGTTAGTTAATGTTAGCTGACTCACTTGCTAGAGGTTATTTTTTCTGACCTTACAGATCTGCTGCTAGGAATCCACTGGATGCAACAGATAGAAAATTTAAGCTGAATACAGTAATTCAAATTAGTCATATGTAGGTTTCCCTGTACTGAGGTAATTCACTAAAATAACTTGTTTCTACATATATGTGTCGCTGCCGTGCAATGCAGCGAGGGGTCTGGAGCCTTAGAGGCCATCAGGCGGGTACTTATGACACTTGGAGTGGAATTAGGCACAGACGCTTATCGGTTGCAAAGCAAGATTGCTTATCCATGCGGGGTCTGGAGCCTTAGAGGCCATCAGGCGGGTACTTATGACACTTGGAGTGGAATTAGGCACAGACGCTTATCGGTTGCAAAGCAAGATTGTTTACTCACGCCATCAAGGTGGTGAATAACGGAGGTCAGAGGTACTTGGTTAGTTACAGCTTCGAGTTCATTAGGTCGGTCTGCATAAGCGTTCGCGCAGAAATGGTCGGGCCGGCAGTCGTTGATTTACGTCTGAGATTGGGTCGAGACGGGGAACTGACAAGTGATCAAATTGTCAGTCACTCTGACACGTATGTTCAGAGGTCTCCAAGGTGCGTACGGAGGTTCCTGACTTCGCGGAAGTGTATGCGGGTTTTATTTGTATAATAGCCAATTGCTTTTTGCCACGTCATAAATTTAATTAGAATCACCAATTATATAGCGGTTTTGCTAGGGTATTATCACAGGGCTACTCCCTGTTTTCTTTGACCAATTATAATGATTTATGCAAAGCACAGAAGGTTAAAGTTTCATTTCTGTTAGTGGCGCAGCAATAAATCTCTTGTTGGCATACACAGCAAAAAAGCTGTTACTATCATTTTGTTAACCCTTAGTTAACCTAGTGCAAAATAAAACTGCTTTAAATAGTATCTCTTGCTTGTGGCATGGGCACTGCTATAATTGGGTTGTGACATGCCCCCTTGCCCATGGCACAGCAAGT